GTTAAAAATAATAAAATAGAAAACTTATATATTAAAATTCCATATATTTTCAAATTTTATGAAAAATATAAAACTTATATTAAAGAATTGTTCTCAGTCAATTTAGTAGGTGAACAAAAAAATAAATTAAATAACAGTATTTGTCTGATTAATAAAGCAAATGAAAAACAATCGAAGAATCCTTTAGAAGTTGCAGAAGTCGTATATGAATTGATGTGTACGTGCACAGAACGGAAAAGCTACGTTGGAGAAACAGGAAGAAAACTGGAAGTGAGGCTAAAGGAGCATGAGGCGGCAATTCGATTGAACAGAACTGAATCCCCGTGGCAACAACACTGCAGTATTAAAAATTGTCTTATTGATCGTAGTAATATTAAAATTTTGTATAAAGAAAAAAATTTTGTAAAAAGACGCATCATAGAACATTACTGTATTAAAGAACATGCAAATTGCATAAATTTAAATACAGGAGCATATGTCGATGCATGCTGGGATAGCTTGATGAACTATAATAGTACTGGCAACTTAACAGTGTAATATCCACTGAAGAGGCTAAAATAGCGAAATATATATGGATAATATAATAAAGTAAGAAATAGTGAAAATAATTCTCTGGTTTTCTCTGTTTTTTTAAAAACTCTATCGAAGTCGGAATTAAAGAGTGAAAGTCACTTGTGGTTCTTAAAGTTGTTTTTTTTTTTTTAAACGAAAAAATTTTTAGAATTTATTAATTTTAATATATTAGGTTGTTCGGAAAGTAAGTTTGTTTTTTTACCACTAGACGGATTAGTCATATTTTTCCCACCATTTTTATTCTAAACCGTATTATTATTATATATTTTGACAGCTAGCATTTTTTAAGGCTTATTTGTAAAAAATTTTGTTTGATTCTGTGCAATTGTTTATTGTTTGTGTCCCATCAAATATGGAAGATCAAAAGCATCATTTTCGGCATATTTTGCTCTTTTATTACCTTTATGCTCACTTGAACAGCATTCTTACCTAAAAGGTAAGAATGCTGTTCAAGCGAGAAAAAAATTGCAATACGTGTATGGAGATGTATTGACAGAATGACAGTGCCAAAACTGGTTTACAAAATTTCGTTCTGGCAATTTCTATATTGAAGATGCACCACATTCTGGATGGCCAGTTGAAGCCAATGAAAACAAAATAAAGGCACTGATTGAAACAAACTGCCAAATAACAACACATGAAATCACTAAGAGATTAAATTTGTCAAATTGAACCATTTATGATTACTTGAAACAAATTGGTTTTGTTTCAAAGCTTGATATATGGGTTTCACATGTTCTTAAAGAGAGATGCTCTCTTTGGTGGGATTTTAAGGAAATTTTTTTTTGGAGCTTTTACCAGACAATTTAACAATTGATTTNTTTTTTTTTTTTTTTTTTTTTTTTTTTTTTTTTTTTTTTTTTTTTTTTTTTTTTTTTTTTTTTTTTTTTTTTTTTTTTTTTTTTTTTTTTTTTTTTTTTTTTTTTTTTTTTTTTTTTTTTTTTTTTTTTTTTTTTTTTTTTTTTTTTTTTTTTTTTTTTTTTTTTTTTTTTTTTTTTTTTTTTTTTTTTTTTTTTTTTTTTTTTGTTAGAATTGATAAATCCATTTTAATATATATAATAGTCATACATTAGATTTGTGATTCCCAAACTTTTTCAAGTCGTTTCCCTTGTTTCCATAAAGTTATATCCAATGCTCCCTAACCTATTTCCCTTTTTTGAGAAAGGCTTGGAAATATTCATAGGAAAACTTTCCTGTGAACCTCACACTTTGTGTCCTTATTATACATTGTTCTCAACATTTTGGAAACCATTAAATGCAATATTTCTTCTTATCCATTTTAACAGAGGAAAGGGAAAGATTGTCAGTGATCCCAACCTTTGCCTATGGTCATCATTCAGTATCTTGCCTGCAGTGCCCCCTGCTACCTACTTGCTTCTTTTGTTCCCCTAGATTTAGTCACTGTCCACAGGGGTGTGGTAATGCCATTTTGGAAACTGCTGCATTAGATGGATGGTTGATGTGGTTAAGGTGTTAGTCTATCTCTCTCTGAGGGACCTGGAAATTTTTCAGTGTGGTGTCAGTGCTTCACTACCCAGCTGTCCCATTGTGGGCCTGGCCAAACCCATGATGGGCTTGTTAAAAAAGGTCCTGTTGGTGCCTGCAAAATGGAAATAGTTTAAAAAATAAATAATCATATGTTCTATATTGGTTTGTTTTTGCACATTTGGTATTTAAATTATTTTACATTAAATAAAAAATAGTATAATATAATTTGTAATAAATATCTAAAGTTTTTATAGTGTCAAAAATAGAAACAATTGCCAAATAACAATTTTTTTATTGTTTGATTTCATCTTTGTTTTGTTTATCAATTATATAATAATAATTTTTTGAGTTTGTTCTAGAATTTAAATAGAATAAAATTTTAATGTCAGCAGTATCTAATGATATGAGTTTGAGTTGATTACTTAGCTTTTAAATAGTTTTCTGGGAGTTATTATGTATAAAGAGAAAATTTTCCATAAACCAAGATATAAATCGAGTAGAAGTGTAATAATCTCAAGTAAAGCATGGATTGACATATATAAAATGAATGGGAGAGAAATAAAGATGAAATAGTAAGCCACTGAAACATGTATGCATGTGTATACTAAAGACACATGCATGTTTTCTTGAAATACTATGATTTCAAGAAAATGAACAATGGCAAATGAATATACTTGCAGTATTCTAGATTTTTTTCACAGTTTTAAGATATTCTTGATAAGTTTATTCAAAGAAAATTCAGTTTAATGAATTTATAATTGCAATTAAAATCAATGGATAAACCTTCACACAAAATTATGATGGTAATGATAAAATTAAGTTATTGATTTATTATTATTACCTATTAAAATTTATCAATAAAAATATCAACATTTGATTATTTATGTAAAGTGAACTGAAATTATTACATATTGTTAAAAAGATAATAAAGTTTAAATTTATGAAATACAAGGTTGATAAAGTTTCAAAATCACAGAAAAAATTGATTTGAAAATCAATTTATGCTGATTGTAACTTTTTAATTATTAAAAATTTAATATTTACATAATTTAAAAATGTTATCTTTTCGGAATATTAAAGGTCAGTGAAGGTCGATGGAAGTGGGATCAAGATATCAGATTAGAATTTACTTCAGCTTTCTTTACTGGAGTATATGGAATGTGGAATTTGTATGTTTTTGCACTTCTAGTACTTTATGCACCTTCCCATAAGTTTTATCCTCCAGGACCTACAAGTAAGAAATTTGAAAAATTTTTCGATTATTATTATTATTTAAAATATTATTATAAAACTTTGAATAATTAATCATTTCAAAAATATATAAAACATCTTACTTCAAAAACTGATTTTTCACAAAAGAAGTGATACAAATAAATTCTACTTAAATGACCACTTTTTAGCAAATGGAAGAACAAACTTTATTAAAACAACAATATAGTTATAATTTATTATGAATCACCAACTATTGAAGAAATACTATACCTACAAACCAGTGACAGAATCTTTCTTTTGAACATTCAATAACTCTGATTTATTGTTTCAGCAATTGTTTTCATTTTTATGACAGAGCTTATTGTAAACAGTTTTTTTAGACCTAAATTAATATGAGCTGAATCACACCACATTCTCAAAAATGAGAGGCAACAACCAGAATACAATCCCAGATTATGATGTAATGTCTGTTACTATGCTACTATATTATTGATGAAAGTTATTACACCCACAGATTTTTGTCAGTTTATCTTTTTACTATTTATATAATATAATTCAGATTATTAATAAATAAATATCCAAAATATAATTCATAATGTATAACACACATTTATTTAAAGAAAGACTCAAATTCTCATCCTCTATGGCTTAAACTTAAGTTATTTAATAACACTTCAAAAAATATAGTTTTTGGTCCCCACTTATTTTTATTCTCTGGTTTTTGTTTTATTTAAAATGTTAAAATGATAGATTGCATTTTGTGTATACTAACATAGTCAATGTAAAAAAATAAAAATTTCATAAATTAAATAAAATCTTAATTTCGTAATAAACTATTATGCTTTTAATTTTTAGTTATAAGATGTTCTAATATTATATGTTTATTAATACACTACAGATGCTTTGTCTTCTACTCAAGAGGAAATTGAATTCAGTCGATTGACATCTGAACCTTCACCCTCAGAACCAACAGAAATTTCTGCTCTGACTGAATTTGCCAAAAAATCTGCTCTGGATTAATACATGAAACTTTTATGGTCTGTCGATCAAGTTTTTAAAATTCACATTTGCAACTTACAGTATTATGTTTTGGCCAAAATATTTCAATTATTATACTTCCTAATACAATGTTAGAAAACCTAAAAAATGTGCCAATAATATTTTCTTTTTTAATATTAGATTATATATATATATATATATTTTATACATGTCTTATTATTTTTTAAAATAATCTAGAAACCCTTTTAATCTGGAAAACACTTTTTATATTATTTTTTAAAATCAATTATAATTGTATTTTTCTCATACACACAATCAAATGTATAGAGTTTTTGAATGACTTTTGAAAAACCCTTTGTATTACAGATTTCTACTGATAGAAATCATATAAAATGTGAAAATTTAAACTTGAATCTCAAAAGGTTTTACTGCGGAAATAATTTTAAATTCATTATACCCTGCACGTTAAAATGTATGAGTTTCTATCAAATTTTCATTTGAAAATCTTAAACAACGTCTCAGTTAAAGAAATACTAAATTTAGATAGATGAAATTTATGGTGTTTCTCTCAGTTTTAGATTATTTTCATATAAATTGAACAAATTTAAAAAATTGAAATGGTTGTTTGAATAAGTTATAATCGAAAATTATAACATTTAAATTTCAAAAAGACCATTTCAATTTTTTAAATTTATTTAAATCGTAAAATGATCTGACAATGAGAGAAATTTTTGAAAATCTTTATTCATTATCTTATTTAGGACTTTTTTAACGAGATTTCTCATTGGTTATATGCAGGTGTTATATTTGAAGATTTTTTTAAGGACTGGAACTTCTCTTTTCTTGTTGGAGTATATAACCAGTCATAGTATAAAGCCTGAGATTTATTATTTATACTTTAAAGAAGAAAATAAAATTTCTAGTTCTTAAAATACATCAAATTAAAGGTTTGTTTCTAACTTTTAAATCAAGAGTCAAAAGAAGTAGATTTTATTTTCATTTTATTTATTTTGAAACATTTAGTAATTAAAAGAACAGAACACTTTATACAAAGAAATATATTCATTTTGTTATTACAGGCAGCTTAAGTAGAACATATTATTCTTTTATTATGAATGTATTAAATTACTGAATTTATTTAAATTTTAATATCCTTGTTATTAATTTTTGCCAAAATATGCAATAACACAGATTATAAATCAAATCAATTTGTGCAAAATAAATTAATCTTTAATTTTATCATATTCAAATTTATATTTAGTTGAACTTTAAATGTGAATGTATTTAATGTAAACCCACTTGTGTACATGTAGATATGTCTTCAGTGTTGAGGTATACATATATATATCATAGAAAACTTAATTAAAATATATTATCTTTCTAATAACTTTACACAGTTTAATAAAATTTATACAGATATTAATGAATTTTATAAAGTTTATATAAATATTTGTATGTTAGTTATTATTTATAATTATATAAAATTAATCTTCATTACACTATTAAAATAATCTTTCACTATTATTATTTTTATTAAAATTAAGTTTATAGAAAATTTTTTATTTAAGAATAAACATTGAAAGACTAAAATATATATTCATTTTAAATATATTCCATTTAATTGATATTTAGGGACTCACATTACAAAGTTGTCAAGAAATTTGATGTGTAATGAATCAATACTCATTAAATTTATTGTAATTTCACTTTTAAAATGTTGCACAAATGATGATACAAATTACAGTAGAATCTGTTCATTGTAATCACTTTGCGACTCACCTCTATTGATAATGATAATCGTCTAACATTAAACATTAACAAATAAGACTGCAATTAATGGAAATTCTGCTTCCATTAAATGTGATATTAATGTAATTGTGTTTATCCTCCTTTTTTATACTGTTTTTACAACAGCTTGTGTATAATAATTAAGAAAGTCAACACATTATACTGAGAGCAAATAAATTTTAAATGTTAATCATTCCTTATCAATGTCATCTATGTGTTTAGGCTGATAGAGCAAAAATATATATATAGGCATTTTTAAATTAAGAAAATGATTATTTATTGTAATTATTAGTTTCATTTATAGTTACGAGTTAAAATGCACTTATAAAACTTACAGAATTTGCACTTCTCAAAAAATAACATTAAGTGATTGTAATATCAGTGATTACAATAAATAGATTCTATTACATAATATTTGTATGTGAAAAGTTTAAATCTGTGTATTTTTCACTTTGTAATAGTTGTAGTAATGTTTTGCTTGTCTTATTAGAGAAACATTTTACTATATGTGTAATAACTTCAATGATTATAATTAAGCAACTTATGCTTTTATTTTAATCTTCATGCATTATAATATATATATATGTGTGTGTATGTGTGTTCTGTGTTAGAAGATACAAAATTATGTTGTAACGATAATTTTTTTGTAATAAAAATTTTTAATATTTTGCTATTTTGAATTCTGAACCCCACTAAAATATTTTTTCCCAGAAAATTGCATCTTAAAATTTTAAATTTTCTTTTGGGCATCCATTTTATTATTTCAATTAATTAATTATTATTTTTGTACAGATAACAAACACATCAACTATTTGGAAGTTATTTGCATAATAAACCATTAATATACAGTATCTTAATTATTGAAATTTGTAAATTAAAAAAAAAAAAAATACTTCTCAAATTCTTTCAAGCTTTTCTGATAACACCAGGTTAATATAATTCAATAAGTAGGATTCATATTTTCCACGAATTACATTTAAGATGGGAGGACCCATTATGGTCCTATCAAGTTTGGACTACCCTTTTTTTTCTAAGAAATGATTAAAATATCACCTAAACTCTAGGTGATAGCTTGGGGAAAATTGAATTGGTTAAATAATAGTCCAAACTTGGTAGTCCATCTTGAACTCTCTTGCCTTTATATAATCCTTGTGGTGTGTGTCGGCCTGTAAAATATATGAAGGAAAATGAAGAAGAAACAAAGGAATGTAGGGAAATGAAATTGGACTGATGGACTCTCCTGACATCAGTCTCAGCTTTTGCTGGACTTAAAATTCGGGATAAAGACTTGAAATGACCATTTGTCAGTCAGCTGGGTTGAAATCTTTTCTGGGACAAAGACAAATTAATAAAACATAAGGTTAGGTAAATGCCAGGTAAATGAATTTTAAACAACTACAAACGTTTTTAATTTCGTATCCTTTGTTATTCTTATAAAACAATTTTATTCCTATTTTTAAATTTAAAAGAAGGAACCCGATCTTCCTCCCCCTTCTTTTAATTTACTTACCGGAAATGCGTCACTATTCAGGAACGTATCGTCCGATTAGCAGAATTTTGTATAATGAGCAGTTTTTTTGCCTCTTTAATGAGGTTTCACGACAGAAGAATTAAATGAAACGAATTTAGAAAAAAATGGTGACACAAAATACATTAAATTCTATTATTATTAGAATATTTTTATCTCAAACACCAAACGTTATACACGTGAGAAAAAAATGCAAATGAGCGCGTACGGTGGAAAGAAGTGTGATGTCACCTCATAGGATTAAAAACAGCAGCTAATACATTTGAGATGAGGTAAAGTTTCTAATTAAAGATTCATTAGTAATTGTGATTTAAATAATGGAGATGCGGTCTTTATTTATTTAATGTTTTTTGTTTTGTTAAAGCCTAGTTATAAGGTGGATAAATTGCTTACTGTGTAAATAATTGTTGATTTTGTATTTCGACTTAAAATTAAGGTACCTTTTTCTCGTTAATAAAGATCCTAGATGAATTTATACGCAATTTGTTAGGGCATAATAATGAATTAGCGTTATAGATAAAATCCACTTTGTTTTGCGATTTTCTTTACTGTTGAATTTAATTAATGGCTGTGGTTTAATGTTTTTCGGATCGTGTACTGTACAGTAGTAGTAGTACTCGAAAATTAGTGCTTTAAGTTCACATCTGGCTCCCGACTGTAGCTTAGAATTACAACCGACCTAAAGTATTTTTGGAGTTTGACTCATTTCTGTGTTCTATGTTTTTTGTATTTCATGAAAGTTTAAAATTTTCTTTAAAAATACCATTAGCTTAAGTTCGAAAATGATATCCTAAATCTATCATAAAACTGCGTATATATTTAGTTTCGGCCTTTTATGTAGGGCTTTTCGATTCAATAATTAAGTTTCCTTCTTTGACAAGTTACAACTAATGCAAATTAATAAGAGGCATAATACGTTTACGTCTCAGGTTTCACTTAGGACGTTTTGTGAAAAATCAACACATCGCTCGTATGTTGTTTTGCATTCTCCCATTGATGTATTATTAGTTTGATTTGATGTCATCTAGTCGGATAGCCCAGGTTGGGTTGTGACTATCTGTCAAGAGAGTGGACTTTCTACGGGAAACTTGCCCCTATTTAGATGTCAGACACTTGGAGAAACCCGGAAAACTTCGTATGGTGAAGCTCGGGACCAACCAGCTACCATTGTTCAGTGGTTTCAATCCATTATTAATATTTCAGGATGAGATGAAGATTAAGAAACGAATTTTAGCATGGTAACTTGTATTCAAGTAGGAATACTTTCCAGGGACGGAATTCGTTCCTGGACGTTTTTGTGCCGATTTTGTCATAAGAAAGGAAATACTAAATATTTCCAAATTAAGAACTGGATTGAATTAATCTTGTTACATTCAAATTGTCTTACAGTGAAAATTGAAGATGTAATAAAGGTACTCCTTAACTAGAGTGCCCGTATTTCTTTAAAAAAAATACTTATGGGATTTTTTTGAACAAATGAATGTTTCTTTATTCGCCGAGAAAGTTATGCAACTCGTTGGTAGCTTTTTTATGTTTAAGAAACAGACACATTAGCACGTTCAAACTGTATATAGCGCCATCTGTTATCAGATGATGATAAAAAAACTAACTTATATCATTAATTATTATAAAAAGGCTTAATTTTAAGGCTAGAAATGAGATTTTTAATGCTTGTAAATGCCAATAACGATTAACATTTTCATTTAGTCTGATCCCATTCGAGATATGGCACATGACTCCTCTGTCTCCACCCCCTTCAATTCCGTACTCCAAAATTTAATAGCGTTAATGCCTCTTATATACAAGATAGCGTGCCAAATTTTATTTAGTAATCATTATCCCATCCTGAGATAGTAAATGAAATACATGTCAACACACAATTTTTGGGGGGTGACATTTTTGAGTTCGGAGTCTTCAAACGTCGAGGTTTGCAAAAATAAAAAATAAAACCCGGAGGATCAAATATGATACGCAAAAAGTATTGTTATCGTATCTGAAACCGTGTCGCTATACTTTTTGTTGCTTGTTGCTTTGAAGCAACACAATAACAATACTTTCCCGTGTTATATATACAGACATAACAGTTGGGAAAATAAAAGCAATGTGTCTTAAATGTTCTTTTTACTAATGAAAATAAAAGTTTTATCATCATCATTTGTCCGTGCCTTCTCCTAAGGGAGATTGGCGGCCAGCAAATACCACTGTTCTCTTTTGTGACTTTTATGAATATCTTCCATATCCATTGCCGTCCATTCCTTGAGGTCCCGTCTTCTTCTCCTTGATCTTTTTCCAATTCTGCCTTCTAATGTGAGTTTGGGGATTTCATATTTCTTTCCCCTCAGTATGTGTCTACAGTATGCTAGTTTTCTCTTATNAGAAAATGATAGCAGAAAAAGTGTTGAGCTGATTTGCAAAAAAGAAATTAAAATCTGATCCTTAAAAAAAATGTCAACAGCTCCCTGTGCCGAATGTTATAATTAAAGGAAGTTTCATAGTTTATGTGTGTTAAGTTATTGTCGATTCTTCTGAAATTTTCACTTTAATTAATCAACAATAATTTGTCTCAACAGAAAGAAAATTAAATACGTAGTTTTTAAAAATCACTGATATAGTTTTAATATGGCCCTGTGGGGGTCGGCAGAATTTTTAATTTGTAAAGGGGTCGCGTATTCAAGAAGGTTGAAAAACACTGCATTAGCACGTTCAAACTGTGTATAGCGCTATCTGTTATCATATGATAAACTAACTTATATCATTATTATAAAAAGGCTTAATTTTAAGGCTAGAAATGAATTTTTAAAGCTTGTAAATGCCAATAACGATTAACATTTTCATTTAGTTTGATCCCACTCGAGATATGGCACATGACTCCTCTGTCTCCACCCCCTTCAATTCCATACTCCAAAATTTAATAGCGTTAATGCCTCTTATATACAAGATAACATGCCAAATTTCATTTAGTAATCATTATCCCATCCTGAGATAGTAAATGAAATACATGCCAACACACACTTTTTTGGGGGGTGACATTTTTGAGTTCGGAGTCTTCAAACGTAGAGGTTTGCAAAAATAAAAATTAAAAAAAAAGGAAAAAAACCCGGAGGATCAAATATGATATGATAACAATACTTTTTGCCTATCTGAAACCGTGTCGCTATATTTTTTGTTGCTTTGAAGCAACACAATAACAATACTTTCCCGTGTTATATATACAGACATAACAGTTGGGAAAATAAAAGCAATTTGTCTTAAATGTTCTTTTTACTAATGAAAATAAAAGTTTTATCATCATCATTTGTCCGTGCCTTCTCCTAAGGGAGATTGGCGGCCAGCAAATACCACTGTTCTCTTTTGTGACTTTTATGAATATCTTCCATATCCATTGCCGTCCATTCCTTGAGGTCCCGTCTTCTTCTCCTTGATCTTTTTCCAATTCTGCCTTCTAATGTGAGTTTGGGGATTTCATATTTCTTTCCCCTCAGTATGTGTCTACAGTATGCTAGTTTTCTCTTATTAATTATATTTACTAATTCTCTTTTTGTATCTGCCATCTGTAAAACTGTTTCATTAATTTTATAGGGTTTTTTAAACTCTTCTAAACCGCCCTGTGGGCACTAAGAGGACCTCTTTTTGGTAAGGCCATTATGGATTCAGCCAGGCCCACAATGGGGCGACCGGGTGGTGAGGAATGGGGCCCGACATATATGGACGGACCAACTTCGAAAAATTCCTGGGGATTTTTCGACCTTGGATTCTCCAGAGCGGTAGGCTGCCACCTTGACCGCTCAGTCTAATTTTATAGGGGTAGGAATCATTAAGGAAAAATTTCCCTTAATGGTTTCACCCCTAAAAACTCCAGGGAAAATTTCCCAGTTTCCCCTTTCGACTGCCCTGGATTTCTTAAAGCATGATTCTGTATATTTGTATTTAATTAAAATAAATCAACTAGTAAAATTCATAACTCTGAATATATTACAATAATTTTAATATAAGACATGCTACATATTTTGTCTTTTTTTTTAAGTATGTTCAATTCTAAAATAATTCTGTACATTTAAAATAATATTCCGGAGGGCAGACGACCTACGCTATCAACACTTCAGTGTCTATTTACAAAATACGAAATATCATTGAGTGCTGCTCACTTTAACAATCGCAATTCAACGGTTTCTACAGAAGTTTCGATTCTGAAATAAAATAAATACCGGAAAGATAAAATCTCGATTATAGATGCGGAATATTGTACTGTTTTTATTTGTTTTCTGTCGAATTCTTTTCTGCGGAAGGCACTTTAAATGGCACTGGACGATAACCTTTGTTTGGGTTGAACGGCTGTACACTAGATAACTGGATTACAGATTTATATCCTCCCTCGTTAATTATTACGTTAGGAAATATATGTTTAGCTGAAGTCTCTTCTTTCTTCGATATTTTGGATTCTATGTCTTTACTATCCTCCGAGTTTTCTTCCATACGTTTAGATATTTGCCTCATTCTCTCTTCCAGTTCCATATAAAAGGTCTTTGCGGGTGGATTCTGTTGCCCTATCGATTTGTTTGGCACATTTTTACTTCCCTGATTTTGTATCTGATGACCAGATTTGAATTTCCAGCTACTTTCGGTGCCTTCTTTATCCATCTCCACTTTCGGTTTCGTTTCGGATTCCGTTTGAATTCCACAATTCGATGGTGGTTTTGATTTCATTCGCTGTTCTTCTTGCTCGGCCACTTCCATAAGTTCTGTGTAGACGCTGGGCTGCCTGGTAATCGGATTCTGATTGCAATTCGCCATGACATCGTCGCTAGTCTGCAGACCGTTCTCGTCACTAGAAGTGTCTCCTCCTTCCGGTTCCGGTCTAGTCGGACTAAAATTACGATCTTGTGGAGGTTGCCGTTGACGCCTCATCCATTTACTAGCTCCGGTAAATTGCTTTCTATTATTGCAATGAACTATCTCGGGAGAGCTAGAGGATGTGGAAGAGAAAACCTTCGGAGGCTGTATGACGTTTAAATTTTCTGGATTACTCATCCATCCTCCCAAACAGTTGATCCTTTCGGGGATATTTTCGCAACTCTGACTTCTAGATTCTGGTAATTCTTGACTTATAAGCGGGGAAATTTCCCTGCGATATAATTTTAACTTGTCGCGAATATTATTCTTCTCTAAATCCCTTTCTCTTCTGTATTGCTTCTGCATTTGAAATACCCAATCGTTGTCTTCGGGCATCTTTACTTCGGTTATATTTTCATCGGGGGTTTTCTTCCTTCGGTTGTTCTCCACATCTCGCTTTTTCATGTGTTTGCGGGCCAGTTCTACAGTTTCGTATTCTGGCAAATAAATGACATGACCTTCTGTGGAATAAAAAGAGAATTTTTTTCGTATTCCATTTTTATGATCATCTGACTTATCTTTATCCTCTTCATTTTTCTTTACACCAAATATCAGAGATTGCAAATATTTCTTCCCGCCGGAATTAACATAATTATAAGTTCCCGTTAGTTTACACATCTTATTATTCTGATAATTTAATACCCAGTTAGAATCTAACTGAGTATTTTTGTTTCTGGTGCCCATTGTTTTCTTCAAATTGATAAAGCCTCCGATCGGTTTGGTGTTTCTCACTCCCGGAACTTTTCGACTTTTCACGTGATTTTCTTTAAAATCTGGATCGTTGTGGTTGACTGTTTTATTTATTAAATTTTTAAATTTTGAACTGAACATCTCGTTAGGTAGCATTAGTTTAACCGGAACTTTTACTCGCCTGTGATTTCTGATGCTGTCTTCAAGATCGTTGCTGTCCGAATCTTCGAGCAGATCTTGTTGGGGAATCCAAGAATGTTGACCGATTATTACAGTTTGTGAATGTTTCTTTGTCCCGTCGTGCTTTTCTTTAGTTAACACTGGACTCTCGATATCCGGAGATATGCCGGAATCTTCACATCTTTCGAACGCATTTCNAAAAAGTCACTTTCTTCGGTTGTAGACCCGTACTTCTGATCTCGTTTGAAGGAAATACAAACCGTATACAAGGAATGTTTCAGAACATCCTCAAATTCCAACAGAATCTACGAGAAAATCTGTAATTACACAAAATAAAGATTGACTTTCCCATTCGAGTCAAACAAGCGAGAGGGCAAAAAACTTTAAAATCATCAAAACATAACTGTGTAAACGTGAACTAGTTCGTGCAGGCGTCAATTTTTTTTTTCTTTTTATATATTTTTAAAGCATAAACACACGTTCTATATCGGTCTACAACAATTAGAGTAAGGCAGAATGCAGATGCCTCTAAGCAAATATTTTCATTGAAAAGGAATTTCAGAATGCGAAAAAATTTACTACTTTTATGTTAAATACTTAAAAACAAAATATTACATTTTATTTTACAATAAAATTTTGATCAATTTAAACGTACTGTACTTACAGCAATGTACGACTTCACGTTTGGTTGCTCGACTGTCCGAAACACAAAGAAACAATGGACTTGAATTTCCAGACATAAAAATCGTGTTTTTAGGTGGTTTACGACGAAAGCATCTTTTTTTTAGTAATGGAATTTGTAAAAAGTTATATATATATTTAAAAAAATCACGTATAATATTAAAATTTCGACTGAAAGCTGATAAGGTTGAGATGAAAATCCTATGTCGGTGACATTCGTTGGGAATGTGTGTGGTCTACGAAATTTTCCCACATTATTTCCAAGTAAAACAGATACTTCGACTCAATAGAACTGTAAAAATAGGTCATAATCTAACTAAATAATATACAATTCTTGATCGCTCCAGATATATTGTTAGATTGTTGGAATTCCCGAATATTAAAAACACGAGAGAAAATTTTGTATGGAAATTTTTTATTTTAAAAATACATTTAATATTAGCTTTTTTTTTAATGTTAAATTATTAAATGAGATCCTATTCGAATGTCTNTTTTTGTTGCTTGTTGCTTTGAAGCAACACAATAACAATACTTTCCCGTGTTATATATACAGACATAACAGTTGGGAAAATAAAAGCAATGTGTCTTAAATGTTCTTTTTACTAATGAAAATAAAAGTTTTATCATCATCATTTGTCCGTGCCTTCTCCTAAGGGAGATTGGCGGCCAGCAAATACCACTGTTCTCTTTTGTGACTTTTATGAATATCTTCCATATCCATTGCCGTCCATTCCTTGAGGTCCCGTCTTCTTCTCCTTGATCTTTTTCCAATTCTGCCTTCTAATGTGAGTTTGGGGATTTCATATTTCTTTCCCCTCAGTATGTGTCTACAGTATGCTAGTTTTCTCTTATTAATTATATTTACTAATTCTCTTTTTGTATCTGCCATCTGTAAAACTGTTTCATTAATTTTATAGGGTTTTTTAAACTCTTCTAAACCGCCCTGTGGGCACTAAGAGGACCTCTTTTTGGTAAGGCCATTATGGATTCAGCCAGGCCCACAATGGAGCGACCGGGTGGTGAGGAATGGGGCCCGACATATATGGACGGACCAACTTCGAAAAATTCCTGGGGATTTTTCGACCTTGGATTCTCCAGAGCGGTAGGCTGCCACCTTGACCGCTCAGTCTAATTTTATAGGGGTAGGAATCATTAAGGAAAAATTTCCCTTAATGGTTTCACCCCTAAAAACTCCAGGGAAAATTTCCCAGTTTCCCCTTTCGACTGCCCTGGATTTCTTAAAGCATGATTCTGTATATTTGTATTTAATTAAAATAAATCAACTAGTAAAATTCATAACTCTGAATATATTACAATAATTTTAATATAAGACATGCTACATATTTTGTCTTTTTTTTTAAGTATGTTCAATTCTAAAATAATTCTGTACATTTAAAATAATATTCCGGAGGGCAGACGACCTACGCTATCAACACTTCAGTGTCTATTTACAAAATACGAAATATCATTGAGTGCTGCTCACTTTAACAATCGCAATTCAACGGTTTCTACAGAAGTTTCGATTCTGAAATAAAATAAATACCGGAAAGATAAAATCTCGATTATAGATGCGGAATATTGTACTGTTTTTATTTGTTTTCTGTCGAATTCTTTTCTGCGGAAGGCACTTTAAATGGCACTGGACGATAACCTTTGTTTGGGTTGAACGGCTGTACACTAGATAACTGGATTACAGATTTATATCCTCCCTCGTTAATTATTACGTTAGGAAATATATGTTTAGCTGAAGTCTCTTCTTTCTTCGATATTTTGGATTCTATGTCTTTACTATCCTCCGAGTTTTCTTCCATACGTTTAGATATTTGCCTCATTCTCTCTTCCAGTTCCATATAAAAGGTCTTTGCGGGTGGATTCTGTTGCCCTATCGATTTGTTTGGCACATTTTTACTTCCCTGATTTTGTATCTGATGACCAGATTTGAATTTCCAGCTACTTTCGGTGCCTTCTTTATCCATCTCCACTTTCGGTTTCGTTTCGGATTCCGTTTGAATTCCACAATTCGATGGTGGTTTTGATTTCATTCGCTGTTCTTCTTGCTCGGCCACTTCCATAAGTTCTGTGTAGACGCTGGGCTGCCTGGTAATCGGATTCTGATTGCAATTCGCCATGACATCGTCGCTAGTCTGCAGACCGTTCTCGTCACTAGAAGTGTCTCCTCCTTCCGGTTCCGGTCTAGTCGGACTAAAATTACGATCTTGTGGAGGTTGCCGTTGACGCCTCATCCATTTACTAGCTCCGGTAAATTGCTTTCTATTATTGCAATGAACTATCTCGGGAGAGCTAGAGGATGTGGAAGAGAAAACCTTCGGAGGCTGTATGACGTTTAAATTTTCTGGATTACTCATCCATCCTCCCAAACAGTTGATCCTTTCGGGGATATTTTCGCAACTCTGACTTCTAGATTCTGGTAATTCTTGACTTATAAGCGGGGAAATTTCCCTGCGATATAATTTTAACTTGTCGCGAATATTATTCTTCTCTAAATCCCTTTCTCTTCTGTATTGCTTCTGCATTTGAAATACCCAATCGTTGTCTTCGGGCATCTTTACTTCGGTTATATTTTCATCGGGGGTTTTCTTCCTTCGGTTGTTCTCCACATCTCGCTTTTTCATGTGTTTGCGGGCCAGTTCTACAGTTTCGTATTCTGGCAAATAAATGACATGACCTTCTGTGGAATAAAAAGAGAATTTTTTTCGTATTCCATTTTTATGATCATCTGACTTATCTTTATCCTCTTCATTTTTCTTTACACCAAATATCAGAGATTGCAAATATTTCTTCCCGCCGGAATTAACATAATTATAAGTTCCCGTTAGTTTACACATCTTATTATTCTGATAATTTAATACCCAGTTAGAATCTAACTGAGTATTTTTGTTTCTGGTGCCCATTGTTTTCTTCAAATTGATAAAGCCTCCGATCGGTTTGGTGTTTCTCACTCCCGGAACTTTTCGACTTTTCACGTGATTTTCTTTAAAATCTGGATCGTTGTGGTTGACTGTTTTATTTATTAAATTTTTAAATTTTGAACTGAACATCTCGTTAGGTAGCATTAGTTTAACCGGAACTTTTACTCGCCTGTGATTTCTGATGCTGTCTTCAAGATCGTTGCTGTCCGAATCTTCGAGCAGATCTTGTTGGGGAATCCAAGAATGTTGACCGATTATTACAGTTTGTGAATGTTTCTTTGTCCCGTCGTGCTTTTCTTTAGTTAACACTGGACTCTCGATATCCGGAGATATGCCGGAATCTTCACATCTTTCGAACGCATTTCTTTTTGCCAACCTATTCAATCTCCACATTCTGTCCTCGTCGTCGTCTCCAAATTCGCTACTCGGAATGGAATCCAAATGCTGGGCACTAAGAAATTTCCAGGCTTCTGTGGGCGAAAATTTGGGCAGTTCGGCTTGCCTTCTGGGTAGAACGGGTCTTAGTTTTAAATCGATATCGTCTTCGGAATCATTCAAAGATGCTAAAGATTCCGAAGAGTGTGAACAAGATTCCATGCTGTCGTCAACGTATTCCGATTCTGGAATTTGTCTGTAAGTTATCCTGTTGTGTTTCTGCAATTTCTCTGTATCTATTTGGTCGCTTTTTGTTTTTGGTTTTCTAGATTTATTATTTCCATCTTTTTCTTTGGTCTGATCCACTTTGACATTTCTGTTTAGTTTTGCATTAGTTTTATTATGTAACGTCCGTTCAATTTCCACATCGGGAAAATAATATTGTTTGGGTGATGTTTTTGTTTCGTGTAGTTGGTTAGATTTCATCCTTTCGGCCAATCTCTTCGTTACTTGTTGAATTTCTTCCGAAAAGGCTTCGTTTCTGCTACGTTTATCATCGAAGACTATATTTTGCGTTGCTTGTTTTCTCGATACATTATTATTTCTTACATCGCAAACCACATGCCTAGATTCTCCTTGAATGTCAGACGATTCTGTAGTTTCCTCTTCTCTAGATGGCAAAGTTATTGGTCTCACTTGTGTTAAATTTTTAGTTACAGTAGACGGAATAGAAACAACAATGGGAGGAGGTGGAGCGGGATGTTTTGCCCTGCTGCCATTTTTCTTCCTTCTGCAGGAAGAGTACTTCTTGGAAGGAGATAATGAAGGAGGTTCGGGCGCACGGTTTTTCTTTTTCGATTTCAATTTTCCATTAGTTTCGCTGTTCTTTAAGCTGTAGCTAATGTTAGGATCACTTATCGACTGCCACTTCTCCGACCTGAGTTGATGTTTATTGGTTAATTTATCCGATCTCTTCTGCAGAACCGCTAGAAATTCGGGATCGATGTCACTCGGTTGAGGACTGCCTCCCGCCCGTTGACCACGAATGGTTCCTTTTTCTTGTAATATGCTACCATTGTCCGTGCTACGTAATCTCTGTCCTGCCACCGGAGGAGGCAAAACTCTATTATGGGGATGAGCAAACCTATTGATTTTTCTCCCATGGTAATGATACGGAGTGTGAAACGTGTTAGTTTTTACTGGAGTAAGTTGGATACCATGAGAAGTGGCGCTGCCCATTCCGGAACCGGCTTCTCCATCTAATGATGATTGTTGACATTATCCATCAGATAGTGCAACCTATTAAAAAAACACACAATTAATATAATTACAAACAGAAGTTTTTAAATTATATTAACTTTCTAAATTTCTAGATATTTTTTTACATTAAAATAAACTAATTATTTTTGCTTAATTTTTTCACATTACCAAACCTAACATTTGATACAGTACTAAAATACAGTATTTTTTCTATACAAAAAGTTTTGATACGATTATAAATCAACATAAATGCATAGTTACGCTCTCTTGGTGCTCACACGGTGAAAATGTGGAAAAAATTAACTATTATATAGACGATTTTTATTAAATTAAAATTGCATAGTTTATGTACTGTGACTGTATATACCAAGTAAGATATGAGAGGAAGCCTGGAGCATTTTCTTTGAGGTCCCCAGTATATAGCTTATACTTTTTAAATAATGAAAAAAAATGCATTTTTGAAAGAAAATAAGGTTAGTTAATAGATGGTATAGAATGAATAATTTGTAATATATGTTTTTGAGGCTTCTTCAAATGTGAGGAGTGGGCATGCTGAGTCCAAACAAAATAATATGGGCATCTGATCTATATAAATTATTCTTTTCATTCGAAAAAAAAAATAATAATTTTTTATATGCAAATCGCAGTAAATAAATAAATAAATAATGCAACGTTGATAAATATTAACGATGGAAATAGCAATCGACAAACATTTACTCGCTAGACAATAATACTTTACACAATTTAATATATTTTAATTAATTTAAACGCTTGATAAACTGAATAAATCACGTTCGACTATTTTATTCTTTCGATTAATGGAAGTAAATAATAAAAAAAAAGCTTTAAATTTCCACTTAGCGTAAATCATTGCATGAGAAATTGTTAAAACACGCATAACAATTGAATATTTTATCAAAATATCTCATGCATTCGACAATTTCGAGATTGTAATTTTTGAGAAATAATTAAAATTAGTCATTAAACTAGTAATAATATACTATTTTTGTAATTACGGACGTTTTCCCGGATAGGGATGAGTTAATCCGCGATCTTATCGTAACAAGGATTTCTAGTGTTGTTTATGTTCACCACGCGTACAAAATACGAGGAGGAGGACATATCATCTTGAGAAACCATCCTTAAATTGAATGAGAAGAGGCGTACAGGTTAACACCCGGATTTGGAAATGAAATAAACAACAATCCGGAAATTAATTGTTCGCCACGTTCAGTATTTTCGTTTTCGTGAGGTGTTTTTTCCTTTTTAATTACGTAAGTTTTTACTTTTAAAATTCAAAAATTAACAAATTTCAAATGATTTAAAAAATACATTTGTCTATAAAAACTAACAAGAAAAGTGGATTAAATAGTAGAGATCTCCAATGCTTGAGTTAAGCTATAATTGCCTGCAACAAAATAATCAATATAAAAACTATTAGTAATATTTTGTAGCTTTAAAATCATCAAACTAATGCAAGTGTAATTCTACATTGTTACCATTGTGTGTACACAGTCTAAATAAAGGGTCGAAATTTATATTCCTCTATATTAAAAAATATATATATACAGTATTTATAAAGGATTATAATGAAAATAATAAAGAATGCATTAAATAAATATTAAGTAGAAATTGAATTTACAATTTATCAAGACAAAACATTAGCAAAATGTCGTACAATTTATTGTTTTCTGCATTGACAAACACCACAATGACGTCTTTTCATTTAAAAAAAAGAGAGAGAGAGAGAGAAATATATGTTCGTGTTACTTTCATTTCAGTCCGTATTTTCACACAATAAATAGGCCAAAATGTCGAAAAGTTTTTGTTGTGCCCATAGGCCACAGTAGTGGTAGGATGTATTAAAGTGCAGGAAACTTTTCATCCCGTATATTTATATGTTGTCTGCCGAAATAATACAAATGTCCTACTTTTCTCCGTGCCATTTCTGCCTCATTGATTTATTATTTTTTTTCCGATTTATTATTCAATTAATCTTTAATTAACGGACAATTTAAATATTTCTTTCTCTCATCTAAACAATTGAAATTTTTCCTTCTTTTTGTAACGTTTCCTGTACTTTCAACAAAGAAAAGAAATTCTAACATAAAAAAATAACATTAAATAAAATTCAATTATCCATTATTAACAATCTGCGGTATTTTCAGTTGTGCAATAAATTCAAAAATAATTGCAAGGGAATAGCCAAAAAGTTCATGAAAAGGTGAAGAAATTTACTTTGAAATCTGTGGAGTATTCTATAGAAAGAATTCGTCAAATGATTTAATGCTTAAAGTATAACAACACATTTTAAAAATTGTTTAAATAGTAATATAAGAAATACGATAAACTTACACTTAATTATATAAATATATGTATAAAAATATTTATAATACCTGACAATTACATGGAGACTGGCGTTTACACACAGTCTTAATCCTATCACCAGAAATCGAGGTATGAACACGCTTATAATATAGTTAGGCCGAGAGCAAAAACTATAGCAAGCTTTCCATCTTGATTACTCAAGCATAGACAGAAAAGTATGTAATAACTACATATATTTTTCGTAGAATATTATATAAATCATCGTAAACAAAATAAACAAGCGCACAAGTAAAAATTGTATCTCGGAGAAAGATCAAACAGGCAGATTCACTTGGATGTAACGAAGTCCTAAGTTAATCATTATTATACTAGTGTAATGTAATTAACTTACATTAATTAGATTTTTCCTTATTTTACTAGTCTGTTTAGCGTTTAGGCACTTAAAATAGGTTTAATTTTCGCAATTATCAGCCTAAAGGCATAATACATATACTACAAGAAGCGTCGTTATTACAAGAAACAAAGCAGGAAAGTTAAAGATAGAAATGAATTCAAGGCTCTTGTTTTATATACAATAAATTAAACATAAAAGGATAAATAATCAAAAACTATTTTCTAATTTGTTGATTAATCTTCTTAATAGTTACTTTTGAATTTTCCTATTGAAAACTGTTATGACAAGTCCTTAAATTCATAGCAAATTTTTAAGAAATAAAAACCATTAAGACTGCATTAAATTAATATCTGAATGAGATTTTATCCAATTACATCTTAACTAAAAATAAATAAATAAAATGTCTTCTGGGAATTCTCCGAATCCGAATTCGGAATAGCAATTGTTATATTCCATTCGGTCATTTGCCATTCTCTATCGGAAAGAAGGTCGTCTGATAAGAGACGAATCGGACTCAAGCTGAGAACGACCTGAATCTTCGTTCCAATTTCCTGTCTGTTAAATAACTGGGATACAAAAGAAGCCGAAGACATTTTCTGACAACCTTGTCGATCGTCTAACGTTTTGCATAACTCGTTTACATAGACTAATTACAATCGCTGATAAGTTCCTGTTCCGCCTACTATTTATTTACTTAACGGGATTCGAACCAGGAAACTTTTCTAATCTCATCTCTAATTCGATCTAACTACACTTTTTTTTTTCGGTATCGTCGTTAACTTAATATGTTTCATTAAAACGCGATTAATTCCACGCTTACTTGAGGTTTCGGTACTTTTTGACCTCGACGAAAAATTTTTATGTACCGCGTATATTCGGAATTTGATACTATCGGAAGAAATTCTGAGATTTATTTTATTTTTTTTTCTATCTTTCTCTGTAAACACATGGATTCTGGTCGTTCAGAGAGCGAAACCGCCAGACAGGTGGCCTTTCTTTCACACATCGTTTGCCTAGCTTCTGATATCAACTACTGTGACAAATTGCCTCATTTCCTTTCTCTTTTTGTCTAGCGGAAAATAAAGTATGTCCTCCGCTTTTTCTTCTCTTCTTTAATCCTTTAGGTGCTAATCTAAACGCCAGAAAAAGTGATATAAAACAGACAGACGGCGGCTAAAATGTAAAGTGGATTTTTTTACCTTCAAGTCGACATTAGAATTCCAAATTAAGAACGTTTCCAAAGATAAAGAATACACTTAAATGGAAGTAAATTATAGTTTTTCACGAAACATGCCAAAGAAAGGAAATCTTACAAGTGAAACCGGAAGATAAAATTAAAAAAAAAAAAGGCGTACAATGCGTGTTATTCAGGGTCAACAGCCCATTCTGTCGACACATTTCTTCACCGTCTCGCATCTGCACACTTTTTTTTTTATATTTAAAATGTGCTATATAACGTAATAACTTATGAAATATATCTATAAAGTATTTCTAAAAACACGTAAATAATTTCTCAGGATATAGGATGATATATTCAAAGGTTGAAGTAAAAATCGACTTTTAAATCACTAATCAAAAAATATTTTGTTTTTCCTTCCGTCTGTCTGTCCAAAAAAAAAAAAAAACTATAAAATGACGTTTTTATAAATAAATTATGTTAATTTTCTAATTCCAATAAAGTCTTGTTTTCCATATCACAGTCTATTAAGCAAATGTCACAGAATTATTCCAGCACTTTTCAATTAAAAGGACTAATTAGGAAAAAGTGTGTTTCTAGATTCTCTTAAGCTTAATTATCTTCCGTAAAAAGTTGTTTTTTTTTAATTAAAAAATTATTTTATAGACATCTGTTTACAAAAATTCGACATAATTATATTTTATTATGTCTTACGGGCAAATATTAAATCTAATTTACTACTAAACTTTTTTGAATAAGGCAGATATACATAATTATTTTTCTAGGTGAACGAGTTCATTAATAATTTTTACATTTATAAGTTAAAATATTAGTTAAGTGTTGGAAACCCGACTAATGACTTATCATTGTGACAATTTTCCTCCCTCAAAAACATGGAGAGATGCATCTAGAAACATCTTATCTTTTTTAATTATTTAGAGAATACAAATTTCTCATAAGAATGCATACAATAACTAATATATTAATACTAATAATAGGTCATTAAAATTTTAAAAACTCTAGCAAATCTAAAAGGATAAGTATAACCGAGCTAATAACCATCTAAAATTATTCTATCTTCAGTTACAATCTGAAGGAAAGATAAAGACAAACTAAATCGTCACCCGAAAAATTTCCTTT